AAACTGGTTTGTACTGGTGGCATTCCCAGTCCACGCCTGGGAGCACCGGTGACTTGGGACGACCCCGAGGCTGCACTGGGAGCGCCCCAGGCCTTACTGGTTTATACTGGTTTATACTGGTTTTTACTGGTTTTTACTGGGAGCGACCCTCAGGGGCTCCCAGTGCCAAACTGGTTTATACTGGTGGCATTCCCAGTCCACGCCTGGGAGCACCGGCGGGCGCTGGTGGCCCGGGAAGATCCCGATTCCGAACTGGCCTTCGCCGGAGACCTCCTGAGCCGCGACTTCTCCAACTTCTCGGCCTGGCACCACCGCCTGCGGCTCCTGATGCCCGCCGGGAAGCCGATGCCCCCCGACAGGCTGAAGGCGGGTGAGTGATGGTTTTTTCCCGGAAAAAATTCCCGAGGGTGGCGAAAATTCCCGAAATTTTTCCCGGATCTGGGAATTTTTTGCTGCTTGTTGGGATGATCCCCATTGAGTTTAATGGGTAGACCTGGTCTCATTTATCGCCATTGACTTTAATGGGTAGACCTGCTGTCTCATCTCCATTGACTTTAATGGGTAGACCTGATGTCCCACTGATCCCCGTTGACTTTAATGGGTAGACCTGATGACTCATCTCCATTGACTTTAATGGGTAGACCTGATGTTTCATTGATCCCCATTTAGTTTAATGGGTAGACCTGATGTCCTATTTGCCCCAGGTAGACCTGGTCTCATTTATTCCCATTGACTTTAATGGGTAGACCTGATATCCCATTTGCCCCACTGAGTGTAATGGGTAGACCTGATGTCCCATTGGTCCCTATTACATTTAATGGGTAGACCTGATGTCTAATCTCCATTGACTTTAATGGGTAGACCTGATGTCTCATTTATCCCCATTGATTTTAATGGGTAGACCTGATGTCTTCTTTGCCCCATTGCCTTTAATGGGTAGACCTGATGTCTCATTTATCTCCATTGACTTTAATGGGTAGACCTGATGTCCCATTTGCCCCATTGACTCCAACGGGTAGACCTGATGACCTGGATTTTTGGGGTGCCTCTTTGTCAACTCCCCCAAAACATTGTGTGGACACACTGGGGGTTCACCAGAGCCCCCTCAAACGCCCCCTGGGGTCCCCCTGAGATATTGGGGTCCCCTCTTTGCCCCTCCCAGAGCTGGAGCTGGTGCAGAACGCCGTCTTCACCGACCCCACCGACCAGAGTGCCTGGGTCTACCTGCGCTGCATCCTCTCCCGAGGTAATTTGGGGGGGACAGGGGGTCCCTTCAGACCTGGGTCCTTCACCTGGGTACCTGGGGACACCCCCTGAATGTTTGGGGTGTTCCCCAAAAGCCACCCCCCCGCCGAGGATCATCTGTGTGTACGTCGACCGAGAGGACGCCACGTTGGCCGTCGTCTTCTCCCGCCCTGTCGTGGTGAGTCAGGACGCTTGGATTCCCCCCCCACCCCCAGAAAACTTCTGGGTCCTCCCCTCTGTACATCTGTGAACCCCTTGGACACCTGGATGTGTCCCCCCCCCCAAAAAAACCCCAAAACAGTGCGGCCTGACCTACTGAGATCACTGGACTCTATTAACTTTATGGGTAGACCTGATGGCCCAGTGATCCCCATTGACTTTAATGGGTAGACCTGGTGTCCAGTTTGCCTCATTGACTTTAATGGGTAGACCTGATATCCCATTTGCCCCTTTGACTTTAATGGGTAGACCTGATCACCTATTGATCTGCATTGACTTTAATGGGTAGACCTGGTGTCCTGTTTGTCCCCATTGACTTTAATGGGTAGACCTGATGACCTATTGATCCACTTAGACTTTATTGGGTAGACCTGGTGTCCCCTTGGCCCCATTGACTTTAACAGGTAGACCTGATGACCTGTTGATCTCTATTGACTTTAATGGGTAGACCTGGTGTCCAGTTTGCCCCCTTGACTCTAATGGGTAGACCTGATGACCTGTTCATCCCCATTGACTTTAATGGGTAGACCTGATGTCCCATTTGTCCATTGACTTTAACGGGTAGATCTGATGACCTATTGATCTGCACTGACTTTAATGGGTAGACCTGGTGTCCAGTTTGCCCCATTGACTTTAATGGGTAGACCTGGTGTCCAGTTTGCCCCATTTACTTTAACGGGTAGACCTGATGTCCTCTTTGCCCTATTGTCTTTAATGGGTAGACCTGGTGTCCCCTTACTCCCATTGACTTTAACGGGTAGACCTGATGCCCTGAATATTTTTGGCCTTAAAAACATGAATTTTGGGATCCAGAAAGCTCAGATTTCGGGTTAAAACCCAACCATTTGCCTCTTTGACTTTATGGGGTAGACCTGATTTCCCATTTGCCCCTTTGATTTATTGGGTAGACCTGATATCCCATTTGCCCCTTTGACTTTAATGGTAGACCTGATGACCTATTGGTCCACATTGACTTTAATGGGTAGACCTGATGTCCCATTTGCCCCATTGACTTTAACGGGTAGACCTGATGATGTGTTGATCTCCATTGACTGTGATGGGTAGACCTGATGTCCTCTTTTCCCCATTGACTTTAATGGGTAGACCTGATGTCCTCTTTGCCCCATTACCTTTAATGGGTAGACCTGTTGTCCCCTCAACCCCATTGACTTTAACGGGTAGACCTGATACCCTGAATATTTTGGGGCTAAAAACACCCATTTTGGGGATCGGGAAAGCTCCGATTTTGGGTTAAAACCCAACCGTTTCCACACCCCCAGGTGAGCCCGGATCGCCCGGACCTGAGAGCGACCCTGGATGGCTCCGCCCTGGAAGGGGCGTGGCGCTCAGGGGAAGGGCGGCCACGCCCCAGCCACACCTGGGTATCCTTCCTTTAAACAGCAGGGCGTGGTCGGGGTGGGCGGGGCTTAGGGCGGGGCGTGGGCGTGGCTCCCGGACACGCCTTAACAGGTATCAAAGCTCCTGGACCTGCCCCGACCCGCAGAGGCCCCGCCCACCGAGCGGCCACGCCTCCAGCTGGGCGTCACCTGGGAGCCCGACTCCGCCCACCGCCAGGTGATGCTGCTGCCAGGTGAGAGCCACGCCCACTCCCTGCCACGCCCCTTCGAGCCACACCCCTTTCCCCCTTGGCCACGCCCCTTTCTCTCCTAGACGAGGACGAGGCCTGGTGGCAGGAGCCAATCGCGGCCCGGGAGCTGTTTTGGTAAGCCACGCCCCCCCTCGGGGAGAAAGCCACGCCCCCTCGGTGAGGCCACACCCCCTCGGTGAGGCCACGCCCACCTGGACCTTCCCTCAGCCCCCCCTTATGTTTCCCTATGGGGTGAGCAAGCCACGCCCCTTTCTGACTGAACCATGCCCATTTGCTGCTAAGCCACGCCCCTCTCTTACTAAGCCACGCCCCTCATGGCTAAACCACACCCCTTTGATTAAGCCCCGCCCACCTCGACCCTCCTTTACCCTCCCTTTGCTTCTATCCCAATACGGGCGGAAGCCACGCCCCTTTTAGCGAAACCACGCCCCTTTCTGACCAAACCACGCCCCTTTCCGACCAAACCACGCCCCTTTCTGACCAAACCCCGCCCCCTCAGGCCCGAGGTGGGCGTGGCCAACCCCCAGGTGCTGTGGGAACAGGTGGAGACCTGCCGGGAACTGCTGGAATTGGAGCCGCGGAGCCGAGGTGAGGCCACGCCCACCCGGCCCCGCCCTTGGGGGGGCGGAACCACGGGCACCAGTTCACACCAGTTTGTACCAGTAGGGACTGGTGTGCTTCAAACCCCCTCCCAGTGACTCCCAGTGCTCCCAGTTCATCCCAGTGCCTCCCAGTCCATCCCAGTCCACCACAGTGACTCCCAGTGACTCCCAGTCCATCCCGGTGACTCCCAGTCCATCCCAGTGCCTCCCAGTGCCTCCCAGTGCTCCCAGTGGTCGCAGTGCCTCCCAGTGGCTCCCAGTCCATCCCAGTGACTCCCAGTCTCTCCCAGTGACTCCCAG